ACCACATGACGCCACATGACACGTGATGACACGTGATACCACATGACGCCACATGACACGTGATGACACGTGATACCACATGACGCCACATGACACGTGATGACACGTGATACCACATGACACGCAACGCCAAATGACACGTGATGCCACATGACACGTGAGTCAACATGACACGTGATGCCACATGACATGCGACGCCACATGACACGCAACGCCACATGACACTACATGACACGTGATGTCACATGACACGCAACACCACATGACACGTGATACCACATGACACGTGATACCACATGGCATGTGACACCACATGTCACGTGACACCACATGACACGTGACACCACATGACACGCAGGAGCGATATGATTACTCACGCCACTATGAAAAGTTGCCAACGACCTCCAGAATATTATCAAAAAAGAAGAAATTCTAGTTTATTCCAAATAACGGGATTTTAATAAAATAATAAATACACTTTACTGTCATGTCTAGTGTTGACCTGGGGGGGGGAGGGGATTACCATATTAAGCATTGAGTGGAAAACAAATTCTTGCATTATAATGTTGTTATAACCCTCTAGAACTTTAAGAATCTTTCACTGAATTTCGTTTTTTTTAAACTGACCGCCGCAGTAGTCTTAATATATATTATAAAGCCATGTTATATGATTATTAGTAATAGCTTATACACTTTGGACCCATTTTAATGCTACAATTAAAAAGAACTATCTAAGTATAATGATTAATATACAACTATTCCCACTGGACCATTACATCTAGAGACTAACAGTATTGACCAAATGGGCTTTCTGCAGGTTCCTCTCTTGTGCACATTAACCAGTATTATAATGACAGTGTTTTTCAACTCAATGTCACCTTCCTGCCTATATATCATGCACTGTATTCATTGTTTGTATATCTGAAGATGTGCTGATTCAACTCGCCCTCTTCACTCCCCCCATAATGGACACAATATGGTGTACTAAAACAATAAAACCTAACGTATCCACAACGCGTAGAAAATATTGACGTCGACCAAGCGAGGCGTTTGACCTGTCATCAGGTGCCCCTAAAAATCACATGAGACAAGCCCATGACATCACCTTAACAAGAGAGATGCTGAATAAACACTTCCATATTTGAGAAACATGGAGAAGTAAGAAGATTACCAATTCTTGAAGCAATTTACATAAAAGTCGAACAACCCGCCATAAATACTCAAATACCGGAACTATTCACTCCAACCAGCATGAGAGTGAGAGCAAGACTGGAGCGCGAAGTAGCCAGCGATGACGTCACTGCCCAATACGCCATACCCACTACGGTCACATGAGTGCTAATCACCTGACTAATCTTTGTATGTTTAGTGTATTGACCCATGCATCTTACCTTTACTCCTTACTGTCGCCTTTCTCCTCACCTTATTGTATGTACCTGACCTCCCAGCTCTATAAATCTGATGTTTACTCCTGTCTCATTTACGGGCTCACCATAGCCCGTGCTACATGAACATTTCGTTCTGAGTTGCTAAATCAAAAACAACAACAACCTGTCTCCTGGAAGAACTGTTTTTACCAGCTGGACCAACCAATGGATCGCTGACCGACCGCAACAAGAGATTATGGACAATATCAAGGACGAAAATCCGAGCCTGGGTGTATTTAACCTAGAGTTCTTCAGCACCGACAAATCATCAATGAAGATTACTTTCATCACCATAGCTGCGGCCACCCAGGCTGCCACACAAGGTTTCTACTGCTTCAGATTGCAAATACAACCCCACCAAGTAAAACAGGAACGATACCATGAGATCCAGCAGTGCTTCAAGTGCTACGAGCTCTCCCACCCCACCAACAAGTGTCAGCACCCTGTCCAGAAGTGCAGCCTGTTCGCACTGGACCGTGACTACTCCGTATGCAAGGCAACAGCCCATCGCTGCTTGCTCTGTGATGGCAATCACCCCGCAATTTCCTACCGCTGCCCCCGCAGACAGGAAAACATCAAGGCCCCAGATTGAAGCCAAGAGACCCAACCCTTCTGCCTCCACGACCAGAGTCTCAGGTGCTCAACCCGCCACCCGACTAGAATACTTTACAGCCATACCAAAGAGTGACTTCTCCAACCAGGCGACCCAGCCTTCACAATTGGGACCCAAGGCCCCACAGCCACCTTCGCAGCCCCCCCCCCCCCCCGGCATTATTCCTGGTCTTAATAGACTAGCAGAAAGGCTTGCCGGACCAGACAACCACCGTTTTGTTAGTCAGTTGAACATATTATACCTAGCCAATGGCCTAGACCCGATCATAGACCCTGGCGCAAGTCTCACTGCCTCCACTACCACTCCAGAGACTACCACCAGGAAGACCACGAGGTCGATTGCAACACAGACTCCAGAACCGCCTAAGACCCGGGCGGCACAAACAGAGGTAATTCCCTCTCCAGCTCCCAACACTCCTGCCATCACCATCTCACCAGACGTGTTGTCCATAAATGCTAACAGCACCACCGACGCTCCTAAAATAGCTTCTACCACCAATGAACGTGAGACAGTGCTACAAGTTCATTAGCTATGACTTCTCCAACAAGTGCCCAGAGCAAAGTGCATCTCATGCTCCGGTACTAACAACTATAAGGACTGTATCGCCGAAATGTACGAACCGTGGAGAACAGCACGCCGCCACCTCCTACCTCTGCACAAAAAAGGAGGAGGAACTGAAGAACATTAAAGAGAAGACCACGCCACCGACCACCCAGAGGCAAGTCACCACCACCTTGGACCTGACCAGTTCCCGAGCCTCCCTTCTATAAGCCAGGTGCAGACTACGACCGTGCCAGTCTTACTAAGCAGTGGCCCCTTCTAACAGGCCACTCGGCCTCCACACTGGAAACCTAAGGACCAACCAGCACCCTCACAGTCCCTTTCATCACGTGCAGGCATTATCGTGCAGGCTTGCCGGACAAGACAATCAACGGTTCGTCAAGGAACTCAACGCCCTGTGTGGTAGATTATATTATTTTTTTTTTTATTTTTAGTGAATGTATACTGTGTGCTGAGGTCGAATTTAAATCACCAGGCTGCTATCACGGGTGAGGACACTGCTTGACAGTATCTAGGAGGGTGTTCAGCTGCTGGACACCTTTTTTGACCAGATGAGTGGCAGTGTTGATGGCTTCAAGGTGGTTATTGCAAGATTCAGGGACTCTTAAAGCTCTTCTAAGGTCGTTGGTAGCACAAATACGACACCAACTCGGTAACGTAGTAGGTGAGGTGATGAGGCCACCTCACCAAACACCAATGACAGCACGGCTCAGCCAAAGTCTCATCCAATGAAAAAGCGGAAGATCTTGAGGTCTACATTAACCCACCAGCTCCATAACTGGTACAGCCCAGCCCTCCAAGGCTGAAATCCACCATGAAGACCTCCATCCAATCACAGACTAAAATCTAAATGTACCAGGCTAACGGACATTTTAAGGTGTGCACCCACTTTTGGCAACCTACTATTAATTCAATATGATGAGCTCCTCAAGTCAATATTCAGGAAGGCACTCTACCTAGATTTAGATGAGTCAATGGGACCAAGCAACACTACCAGTCAGATTTGGGGGGATAGGTATACGAAAGGCAACTGAGGTAGCACTTCCAGCTTTCTTATTATCATGCACAGCGGCCAACCAATTAGTAGAGAAGACCCTACCGGAGTGTATGGAAAACTCAGTGGGAACTCATGATCAAGAGTTCATCAAAGCAGCTAGTCAATGGAAAACTATTGTACACCCTCTACCCCGACCACAATCCTCAAAAGATTACAAGCAGACCCACTGGAATAGCCCCATAATGGAAAAAAGACTGTCACAACAGTGCTTGAAAACGCAGATAGTGAGAACAAAGCTTGTCTCCTAGCAGTAACAGTATCCCATGCTGGGGATTTTTTATTTGCTGTGGCCAATGCAGCCCTGGGAACTTGCCTCAATCATGACGCTCTCCGCATTGGAGTTGCCCTTCGCCATGCTGCCCTCATCCTCACCGAACATAGGTGCACCTGCGGAATCACGATGGCAGACCAATATGGTCGTCGTGGTCTGGTATGTCGTAAATCACAGGGTAAGATTGCAAGACATGAAGAAGTCAACGACATCATCAAGAGGAGCCTCGCCACGGCCCGCTGCCCAGCACAAAGAGAACCACACTTATTCAGACCCAACGAACCTCAGAAGTGCCCAAACGGGGTCACCTTGATTCCTTGGAAGGAATTGGTGTGTGACTACATATGCTCTTCCACACTGGCCAGTACCTACCTCCAACACAGCACAAACGAAGGGGATAGCGCTACTTCTTTCAGGGAAACACAGAAAGCCATCAAATATAGAGGTCTGACACACTGCTACAGCTTTGTTCCGATCGGCTCAAAGACCCTTAGTTCGTGGGGGAAATGTGCATTGAAGTTCCTGAAGGAAGTAGGTGAGAAATTGATCAGTGTTACAAAAGACCAAAGAGCAAAAAACTTGTTCTCGTTTTTGTTTCAGTGTTCTTGTGTCACAATTCAGAGTGGAAATGCTTGTTGCATCTTGGGCATGAATCCAACTTAGGAGGAATTCAAAGAGGTGTTTGACTTGCAACAATGATCAAATCTGTCCGTGACATATATTAATGTTTCCCGTTTGTATGTTTTTCATTTTACTTTTAATGGTTAAGCTGTGTCGGAACTATTCTTCAATTTTATGCTTTTGTTTTAATGTCTTACGTTTACCACTTACTTTGACCTTGCCTCTTGCTTTACGATGGCTTCTTGTGCACTTGCAAGAAGCAAGTCCACCAGGTCTTGGACGCACCAACACGTCTTCACTTTCTTTGTCGTGTGTGTGTTGGGTCACTGGTGTGCAGTCACGCTGTTCCGACTTATTCTCAGCTTATAGTCATTTTATTCTCGCAGAACTCATGTTATGGTAAGCGATAAGGTGCATAGTATTAGATATCTAGTGTGTGTGTATCTACAGGTTCTTCAGCAAAAAGCGTGATGCGAGTGCTGACAGGAGCAGGAGCAAAGGCCGCACACCGGAGCCCTCGGCTAACAGCCTGGATATTCCTCGTCCTGCCAGGAAGAACAGGTCTCCCTCCGTCAGGCTAACTCAGGGAATGGAGACCAAGCTGGTGCCTCCTGCTATTCCTGAAAGACAGGTTAATTTGACGCACATACACTAATAATGGCTTTTCTTGAGACTCACAGTGCATGGTAATAGGATCCTGAGTCACCAACATGGCAAGAGAGGCATAGCAGTACATTACTTCAGTTGGTAAACAGTTTTTCACTTTCCCTACAAGATTTATGAGAACTTTTTTGATAAGTGCTTTGTCAGTTTGTCATGGCTCTTATGTGACTCAGGAATACTGATCACAGAATAACAATTTGATCAATAATCAGACCATTTCATGGCTGTATTTGGTCTAAAAGATGTTTTTCAACACTAAACTCTGGTATTCATAGGTTTGGTAGTGGTTGGAAGATAATTTTATTGTTGTGCTTGTGGTATAAATAACGCAAGCTCTCAGTAGCTTCTGCAAGTGAATGCTAATTGTGTATATAGTTTTGAGCGATGGTAGTTGTTGGAAATTATGCAATACTCTTTAAGTGATTTAATGTATAACGCAAATTTTAATTGGTGAATGTTGTGTGTGTTGGTAACAGGGGGCGACGGAGGAGCTGCGGGAGGAGGAGCTGTTTGACCCAGAGTGCCTCAAACTGATGAACGAGTATTTCTACGGCGTTAGAATCTTCCCTGGGCAGGACCCCGCCCACGTGTACATCGGGTGGGTCACCACACAATACCACATTCACGACACCGCCTTCGACCAGAGCAAGGTCCGCTCCGTCATCGTCCAGGAGTACACTGAGGAAGGACACATTCAGAACGCGTGAGTACAACAATTCTCGATATTCTTAATTGTATTATCTGAAGTCTTTTGGTTTATGTAGACAAGATTTCACTCGGTGAAACTATATACAATCACATATAAACTGAATAACCTATATACGTAGTCAGTAGGAGGATGGTAGAGCGATGTGGCAGATCACAATTCCTTTCCTCCGTCCTATTCTAAATCCTTATCCTCATATCCCTTCTAAGTGATAAAGTCATTATGGCTTAGTGTTCCCCCCCCCCCTACTAGTCAGCAGGAAGGGTGGGGGGGAGGGAAGAGGGGAAGGGGTGTTAGTGGTAACCAGGTGAGGTCAGGCAGACCAGCTGTGGCTGTCATGTCATCGCTGGCACAAGTTGTCATGGGGCACAACAGCATTGGAAGCTCTTTCACTTGACTCATCAGTTCCCGTGTACCTTAAGATGACATCCTTAAAGATACACTTATATATTTGTCCTTTTTAATACTAATTTGGCTTTCCTCCAGGCCATGTTTTAGGTTTATTGCGGTCAATAACTCTCATCTAAAGCACAACGGCTTTTGTGTCATACATTTATGAACATCTGAATAGATGCAACTGCCTAAGGCCTACTGAGCCATGCGAAGCATTTCCTAGTGTTGCCTGAGAGGCAGTTCATATTATTGCATGCAAGGCAGCTCTTACTGGTGGAGGCGAGGCAGCTCCTGTTGGTGAATGCGAAAACACATATTGGTCCATTTTGTGTAGCTTCTGTTGATCATTGTGAGACAACTCTTCTTGGTCCATGCAAGACAACTGCTATGGGTCTATTTTTGGCAACTCATATTGTTCCAAGCGAACCAGGTCCTAATGGTCTATGCGAGGCAGTTGCTATTAGTCTATATAAGATAGCTATATGATATACAACTACACACTGCCATATATTCGACCTAACCTTGCTTGAAAGATTCGAGTGACCCCCGCATCTTTTATACGGAAACTTGATCTGAAACCCTTTTTATAGATGAAACCCAGTTACATTGGTCTACTTCCCTGTTCCATAGATCAAAAAACTTGTTCTTTAGATCTAAACCCTGCTCCATAGATCTAAAACCCTGCTCCATAGATCTTAAACAATGCACCATAGATCTTAAACCCTGCACTATAGATCTTAAACCCTGCAACATAGATCTTAAACCCTGTTCCATAGATCAAAAACCCTGTTCCATAGAGCTAAAATCCTGCTCCATAGATCTTAAACAATGCACCATAGATCTTAAACCTGCTCCATAGATCTTAAACCCTGTTCCATAGATCTAAAACCCTTCACCATAGATCTTAAACCATCTAATGAGTTGCTAGTGCCTGACATGCTTCTTTGTCCATTTGCCTTAATTCTATAGTATGGTGTCCAAGACTGACCAGAGTAATCTTAAGATGACGCTCAAGAAGTGCACAAGAAACTGGAGAATGCCATTAGCACCATTTAGATGATCCAAAATGTTCGTCGCAATATAAAAAGTGTTTTTGAAAGTTCAATTCACAATTTCTTATTTAGCGTTTCCTGTGGAATCATGTTGAGAAAGCAAGCAGTGTGTAAGAAAATGTAATTTATTGAGCATATTCAAGAATGAACTTGATAACAGGTATATTTTAGTTCCTTTTATGATAAATATAATAAATATATCGGAGTATGCATTGTTACTGAGGCAGTGGTGTACAAAATGTTTACTAAACAAACACATTATCTTGATATCCTCTGGTTCATGCACTCGATTAGAGTAAGTTAGGTTTAATTAACTTTATTTGGGTTGGATTATGTTTGGTTTGGCTTACAACAAAAATGAAGATTTTTTGTATGCAAATAATACTATCGGGGTTTTCAACTCAGTAGCTGTATTACGGCCGATGGATTAAAATATTGATGTTATTAGTGGTGAAGAAATAGTGATGATGGGTTGTGTGTCGGCAGCGTGGAGCGCCACAGCTGCTACATGTTCCGGGCAGACGAACTCCACGCCGAAGTGACGTCCGACACTGGCGGGAAGAGCGCCTCGCAGGGTATGTTCGTCGGATGCTTCATCGACGCATCCACGGGCTTCATCACGCTGCAGTGCGACGGGAAGGACACACGCCACAAGTACCGCATGGAGCCCGGCACCAAGCTCTTCCCCGGCGTGTTCCTGGAGCCCACCAGCAAGGAGGTGCTCCAGATCGAGCTGGGCCGCACGCCCACCACGCTGCCCTTGAGCGCCGCCGTCCTCCAGAACAGTGACAAACACGTCGTCCCTCAGATGCCGCCACGCCTCAAGGTCCAGATACTGAAGGTATGGCTCCATACCTAGTGTTCACCCCGTGTACCTTGTACTCACCCCGTGTAGCTGGTACTCTCTACATGTACCTGATACCACGTGTACCTGGTATTCACCACGCGTACCTGGTACTCACCCCGTGTACCTGGTACTCACCCCGTGTACCTGGTACTCACCACGTGTACCTGGTACTCACCCCGTATACCTGGTACTCACCCCGTGTACCTGGTACTCTCCACGTGTACCTGGTACTCACCATGTGTACCTAGCACTCACCACGTGTACCTGGTACTCACCCCGTGTACCTGGTACTCACCCCGTGTACCTGGTACTCACCACGTGTACCTGGTACTCACCACGTGTACCTAGTACTCACCACGTGTACCTGGTACTCACCCCGTGTACCTGGTACTCACCACGTGTACCTGGTACTCACCCCGTGTACCTGGTACTCACCCCGTGTACCTGGTACTCACCACGTGTACCTGGTACTCACCCCGTGTACCTGGTACTCACCAGGTGTACTTGGTACTCACCACGTGTACCTGGTACTCACCCCGTGTACCTGGTACTCACCCCGTGTACTTGGTACTCACCACGTGTACCTGGTACTCACCACGTGTACCTGGTACTCACCCCGTGTACTTGGTACTCACCACGTGTACCTGGTACTCACCACGTGTACCTGGTACTCACCACGTGTACCTGGTACTCACCCCGTGTACCTGGTACTCACCACGTGTACCTGGTACTCACCACGTGTACCTGGTACTCACCCCGTGTACCTGGTACTCACCCCGTGCACCTGGTACTCACCACGTGTACCTGGTACTCACCACGTGTACCTGGTACTCACCACGTGTACCTGGTACTCACCACGTGTACCTGGTACTCACCACGTGTACCTGGTACTCACCACGTGTACCTGGTACTCACCCCGTGTACCTGGTACTCACCCCGTGTACCTGGTACTCACTCTGTGTACCTGGTACTCACCCCGTGTACCTGGTACTCACCACGTGTACCTGGTACTCACCCCGTGTACCTGGTACTCACCACGTGTACCTGGTACTCACCCCGTGTACCTGGTACTCTCCACGTGTACATGGTACTCACCACGTGTACCTGGTACTCACCACGTGTACCTGGTACTCACCACGTGTACTTGGTACTCACCACGTGTACCTGGTACTCTCCACGTGTACATGGTACTCACCCCGTATACCTGGTACTCACCACGTGTACCTAGTACTCACCCCGTGTACCTGGTACTCTCCACGTGGACATGGTACTCACCCCGTGTACCTGGTACTCACCACGTGTACCTAGTACTCACCCCGTGTACCTGGTACTCACCCCGTGTACCTGGTACTCTCCACGTGCACCTGGTACTCACCCCGTGTACCTGGTACTCTCCACGTGTACATGGTACTCACCTCGTGTACCTGGTACTCACCACGTGTACCTGGTACTCTCCACGTGTACCTGGTACTCACCTCGTGTACCTGGTACTCACCACGTGTACCTGGTACTCACCCCGTGTACCTAGGTACACATGTACCTAGTACTCACAACATGTACCTAGTACTCACAACATGTACCTAGTACTCACAACATGTACCTAGTACTCACAACATGTACCTAGTACTCACCACGTGTACCTAGTACTCACCACGTGTACCTAGTACTCACCACGTGTACCTAGTACTCACAACATGTACCTAGTACTCACAACATGTTCCTAGTACTCACAACATGTACCTAGTACTCACAACATGTACCTAGTACTCACAACATGTACCTAGTACTCACAACATGTACCTAGTACTCACAACATGAACCTAGTACTCACAACATGTACCTAGTACTCACAACATGAACCTAGTACTCACAACATGTACCTAGTACTCACAACATGTACCTAGTACTCACCACGTGTGCCTAGTACTCACCACGTGTACCTAGTACTCACAACATGTACCTAGTACTCACAACATGTACCTAGTACTCACAACATGAACCTAGTACTCACAACATGTACCTAGTACTCACAACATGAACCTAGTACTCACAACATGTACCTAGTACTCACAACATGAACCTAGTACTCACAACATGTACCTAGTACTCACAACATGTACCTAGTACTCACAACATGAACCTAGTACTCACAACATGTACCTAGTACTCACAACATGTACCTAGTACTCACAACATGTACCTAGTACTCACAACATGAACCTAGTACTCACAACATGTACCTAGTACTCACAACATGAACCTAGTACTCACAACATGTACCTAGTACTCACAACATGTACCTAGTACTCACCACGTGTGCCTAGTACTCACCACGTGTACCTAGTACTCACAACATGTACCTAGTACTCACAACATGTACCTAGTACTCACAACATGAACCTAGTACTCACAACATGTACCTAGTACTCACAACATGAACCTAGTACTCACAACATGTACCTAGTACTCACAACATGAACCTAGTACTCACAACATGTACCTAGTACTCACAACATGTACCTAGTACTCACAACATGTACCTAGTACTCACAACATGAACCTAGTACTCACAACATGTACCTAGTACTCACAACATGAACCTAGTACTCACAACATGTACCTAGTACTCACAACATGTACCTAGTACTCACAACATGAACCTAGTACTCACAACATGTACCTAGTACTCACAACATGAACCTAGTACTCACAACATGTACCTAGTACTCACAACATGTACCTAGTACTCACAACATGTACCTAGTACTCACAACATGTACCTAGTACTCACAACATGTACCTAGTACTCACAACATGTACCTAGTACTCACAACATGAACCTAGTACTCACAACATGTACCTAGTACTCACAACATGTACCTAGTACTCACAACATGTACCTAGTACCTAGTACTCACAACATGTACCTAGTACTCACAACATGTACCTAGTACTCACAACATGTAACCTAGTACTCACAACATGTACCTAGTACTCACAACATGTACCTAGTACTCACCACGTGTGCCTAGTACTCACCACGTGTACCTAGTACTCACAACATGTACCTAGTACTCACAACATGTACCTAGTACTCACAACATGAACCTAGTACTCACAACATGTACCTAGTACTCACAACATGAACCTAGTACTCACAACATGTACCTAGTACTCACAACATGAACCTAGTACTCACAACATGTACCTAGTACTCACAACATGTACCTAGTACTCACAACATGTACCTAGTACTCACAACATGAACCTAGTACTCACAACATGTACCTAGTACTCACAACATGAACCTAGTACTCACAACATGTACCTAGTACTCACAACATGTACCTAGTACTCACAACATGAACCTAGTACTCACAACATGTACCTAGTACTCACAACATGAACCTAGTACTCACAACATGTACCTAGTACTCACAACATGTACCTAGTACTCACAACATGTACCTAGTACTCACAACATGTACCTAGTACTCACAACATGTACCTAGTACTCACAACATGTACCTAGTACTCACAACATGAACCTAGTACTCACAACATGTACCTAGTACTCACAACATGTACCTATTACTCACAACATGAACCTAGTACTCACAACATGTACCTAGTACTCACAACATGTACCTAGTACTCACAACATGTACCTAGTACTCACAACATGTACCTAGTACTCACCACGTGATCTTGGTGTGTTTTTTAATGAGATTTAATGAATATATTTTTCTCGTAAATTTACGAACATTTATGTACACAATTGGTTTCAACACCGACTTATAGATGAAAGATTTTCCTGTGAGATATATTTAGTACATAGAGTGATATATTTAGTACATAGAGTGATATATTTAGTACATAGAGTGATATATTTAGTACATAGAGTGATATATTTAGTACATAGAGTGATATATTTAGTACATAGAGTGATATATTTAGTACATAGAGTGATATATTTAGTACATAGAGTGATATATTTAGTACATAGAGTGATATATTTAGTACATAGAGTGATATATTTAGTACATAGAGTGATATATTTAGTACATAGAGTGATATATTTAGTACATAGAGTGATATATTTAGTACATAGAGTGATATATTTAGTACATAGAGTGATATATTTAGTACATAGAGTGATATATTTAGTACATAGAGTGATATATTTAGTACATAGAGTGATATATTTAGTACATAGTGATATATTTAGTACATAGAGTGATATATTTAGTACATAGAGTGAGAGGGATACATAGTGAATAATGCACATTTAATATGCCATTGACCTTATATAGATAATGTGTTGCCGCAAATGATCATATACCAGAAACAACTAAAGAGAATAGACCACATAAATAACTTTCCTATTGAGACAAAGCAGAACTTGTATAGTTCATCTCTGAGGTTACATTCTTCTCCACCCCCTTCCCTCACCCCTATCATTCACCACCTCTCCCCCTCACTCCCTCCTCATCACTCCATTCACCACCTCTCCCCCTCACTCCCTCCTCATCACTCCATTCACCACCTCTCCCTATTACTCCCTTCCCATCACAGTGAATAAATTTAATTCACAAATTTAATTTATTTATTGTATAGGGTAGAAAATGACTGAATAAACATGACTGATTCCATATATAGTGATTTACTGATGAAGGATCTAATGCCGTTCACTGAGTGAGTGATTCCCTTATGAGGAAATATAATTCATCTGTGAAAAAGTTATTGTATTATAACTTTGCCATTTGGCTTAAGGCTAGGAGTGAGTTGTAGTAGAGAATGTTGTGAGTTGTGTTGATGGTAAATTGAGTGTGCTGGTGTGTTGCAGCCTTACCAGTGGTCCCGGGTGCCCAACACCTCCCTCAGGATACACGCCCTCAAGCTCTCCGACATCCGCGGCTGGTCCATGCTAGCCGAGGACGCTGTGCCGATGCTCGCCCTCCACATCCCGGAGGAGGACCGATGCATCGACATCCTCGAACTGATCGAATACGACAAGCTTTTAAGCTTCCACGCCCACACGCTGGCGCTGTACTGCGCCGTGTGCTACCAGAGCAACTACCGCGCTGCTCACACCCTCTGCTCACACGTCGACCAGAAGCAGCTGCTGTACGCCATGCAGAGCGAGTACATGTCAGGACCTCTGCGCATGGGCTTCTACAACCTCCTGATAGCACTGCACTTGGAGAGCTTCGCTAGTACAATGTACGCATCCATCCCTCTAGTTGTCTTCAAGTTGATCAAATATTCGGCATTTAATGTAAACACTGGTGCATTGTGACCTTGTGTAATACATATATTTTATAGATATTATGTTGATACAGGGAGGTGACCCATAATGAGTTCATCGTGCCCCTGAGCTCTGAGCTGAAGGAGATCTACGCAGATGAGACAATGGGCAACTCTATGTCTGCCACTCACACCGAGTCCATCCGGCCCATCATGACAATGTCCGACATATCGTACGTATCAGAGATGAACTTGTATCACCCAGCCCAGACTCGACTGTAGCCTGGGACTGGCCCCACTTGTGTATGGCTACGTGTCTGGGTATATGCTCCTATCCTTTGTGTATACATGGTCGGCTCATAGTGTTATGTGCTGCTATGTCACTCGCAACAGTTTTGGTGTTAAATCTGCCAGATCTACCTTGCTAAATTTCCTAGAATATAACATTCTGACATTAGGAATGAACATTAATATCAAAAGGCTAAAATATAATTGAAAGTAAACGTATTACTTGAATTATCCGAAACATATTACTGTATTTATTTAAGATTTAGTGATAATTCGTGGTGACAATTTCCAGTATATATGAGCCGAGGAGTGCACTTACAGGAGCTGGTAACCCTCCACAAGATGACAGGCCTAAAGTCAAACGTCTCACTAAGGGTTTCCTATTAATCCTTACCTACCATTCCTCTCAGTTGAGAAGTATGTCTCACTAGAGTCAAGATTTAAGTGTTTTATTAGAGACGTAAGTTAAATGTAGCAAGGTACATACATTAAGTAATGTTTCAGCTGAGTATGTAAGAGGATGACGCTGGAGCATAAACCCTTGCGCACAGTATTGTTCAGGAGCGCCCTGGGGGAAGAGGGAAGGCAACTTTCAGGAGAAAGTGCTCTAGGGGGAAATTGTACATTTTCGGCCTTCAATGGCCAAACTAAACAGTCTGGGATAATTTACTTATTTTTATGGCAATCATAATTTTCTCTGCAATTTCGTAAAAACGAATTATATTTTGATTGTTGTCAAAGCGCAGTAGAGGTGGAGCCGCCTGGATGCCTCTGCGGAAGGCTTAACTAAAGCTGAGACTCTTCAGCTTACCTTGGCAGTGATGTATTATGTTGTCCTTCATTGATACTCCTACAATTTATGCTCAAGCATAACTAACATTTAATCATCTTAATATATGCGTAGTACACTACTAGTTTTGACCTTATTTATTTTGCTGCCCTTTTTTGTTTCTCATTTTATTTTATTTTTAGCCTAAGATTATTTTATTTTCAAAATCAGCCTCTATTTTGTACCATTTTTATTTGACCTGATTGTGTTATATGGAAAATTATATACAGCAGACTTTTTTTACCAAATATTTATATATATATTTTTTTATCTTTTTCCTACATTGTTTTGGTGTTGTGTTGGCGTGCATTGGTGACCCCGTCGTGGCCTCGCTTGGTCCTAACACCCTCTGCTCTCCACCTGCGTCTTCTCAACCACCACCATAATGTTTCTAACATCACTGCAACACCTTCCTTGCTTTCATATTTTGGCTCTGGCCTATCCTTGGCACACATCGGCATGCCACATCCCTCTTTCCCTGTGTTCCGGCCTCACCCTGGCCGTCCCCTCACCCTGGCCGTCCCCCTCACTCACCCTGCCTGATGTTCATCCCTCCCGAACACTGTAGCCAGCTGGGCAATCCTGAGACTGTCTCTCTGCATTCCACACACTTGCCGCCGGCTGGTCTTCGCGGCACGCACACCAGCACCAACATTGAGACCATCAAGGGCCTCTCCTCACCGTACTTCCCGCTCGACGTCGCTAGAGAGTTCGTCATGAACGCCCTTTCCGACGCCGTCAAGACCAACCAGATCCACAATAGGGACCCCATCGGCGGCTCCAACGAAAATTTGTTTGTGTAAGGACTAACTCCATTTTACCTTTTACAGAGTGTTTGTTGTGAGTGTTAAGGCGCAGCTTGTTGGCGCTTATGACACTTGTCTTGATAAGTTTTGTGATACTTTGATGACATATGGCTCTGATGACATACGGCTTACAGTGGCACAACTTACCTTCGTGCCACGGAGACAACCGTAAGTACACAACTTACCTTCGTGCCACGGAGGCAACCATAAGTACACAACTTACCTTCGTGCCATGGAGGCAACCATAAGTACACAACTTACCTTCGTGCCATGGAGGTAACCATAAGTACACAACTTACCTTCGTGCCATGGAGGTAACCATAAGTACACAACTTACCTTCGTGCCATGGAGACAACCGTAAGTACACAACTTACCTTCGTGCCATGGAGGCAACCATAAGTACACAACTTACCTTCGTGCCATGGAGGCAACCATAAGTACACAACTTACCTTCGTGCCATGGAGACAACCGTAAGTACACAACTTACCTTCGTGCCATGGAGGCAACCATAAGTACACAACTTACCTTCGTGCCACGGAGGCAACCATAAGTACACAACTTACCTTCGTGCCACGGAGGTAACCATAAGTACACAACTTACCTTCGTGCCACGGAGGCAACCATAAGTACACAACTTACCTTCGTGCCATGGAGGTAACCATAAGTACACAACTTACCTTCGTGCCACGGAGACAACCATAAGTACACAACTTACCTTCGTGCCATGGAGGTAACCATAAGTACACAACTTACCTTCGTGCCACGGAGACAACCATAAGTACACAACTTACCTTCGTGCCACGGAGGTAACCATAAGTACACAACTTACCTTCGTGCCACGGAGGCAACCATAAGTACACAACTTACCTTCGTGCCACGGAGGCAACCATAAGTACACAACTTACCTTCGTGCCACGGAGACAACCATAAGTACACAACTTTATTACATGCCACTAAGACATCCATAAGTACACACTTTCAAGTGATGCGAGGGCCCCCTCTGTGTGTGTGCGCGCGCGCGCACTCACCTATTTGTACTCACCTATGTGTGCTTGCAGGGATTGAGTTTTGGCTCTTTGGTCCCGCCTCTCAACTGTCAATCAACTGGTGTATAACTGACGGACTCCTAAAAAAAATTATAAAAAAAATCGAAAGTAAAAAATTCCAGTTTGTCAGCAGGATGCTTCTTCTGGAAACTTTCCTTTTTAAGGCTGCTCATAGCCCAGTTGATAGAGCATCGGCCTCACACACGTGTGGTCCACGGTTCGAGACCCATACAGCCCAGGTGAATGGAATCATTACCTAAGGGTAGTTACAGGATGAGAGACACGCTCGTGGTGTCCCGTCTTCACAGTACTCATTGTTGTATAACGCTTTGAAAATACTGACGGTTTTGGCCTCCACCACCTTCTTACTTAACTTGTTCCAACCGTCTACCACTCTGCAAAATAATTTGCTTTCAGCACTTTTGTTTCCATTGATTAAATCTATGACCTCATGTTCTTAAGGTTGCCAGCTTCAGGAATTCCTCTTTGTCAATTTTGTCGATTCCTGTTATTGTTTTGTACGTGGTGATGTATGCTGGTGTGTGCACGTCCATGCTGGTGTGTGCATGTTGGTATGTGCTTGTGCATGTTGGTGTATATGTGTGCATGTTTGTGTGCGTGTGTGTGCTGAAAACAAACTGGAAACCAGTTGCATATTATGATAATTGACCTGAGCAGAAAATAAGTGAGAACTTAAGGGAGTGTAGTGCTGGAAGTGGTGTACCACCGCAGAATACAACAATGTCCCCACAGTCACAGTGTCCCTCTATCAGTGATTGACAGTCGAGAGGCGGGACCAAAGACCCAAAGCTCAACCTCTGCAAGCACAACTTGGTGAGTACAAGTAGGTGAGTCAGTTCCACCCCCAGGGCGTGCATCGCTCCCCGCTCTGGCCTCTCCGCCCTTCTCCACTCTTGCATTTCAATACTCTCCTTTGCTTTTCACTTGCAAATTGTAAAGTTTTCTCTCGTCTAGTTCAAAAGACTCATATCGTTTCTGACTATATTTATAATAATAGCATTATTTTCAAGTTTATACACTTTTAGCAACCCTTTTCTTTACAGTGTGGGTGTTATATCCACAAGTGGTCTGAAGATAGAATATCTTTTTTCCCCCGTGACATTGTTATAGGAGTGAGAATATGGCGGTGAGTGAGTGAGGTTATGACAAGGTTGTGTGTTACAGTCCGCTGCTCAAGTTGGTGGACAAGCTGCTGCTGGTGGGTGTGCTGCAAGATGAAGACATCACCCGTCTCCTTATTATGATCGACCCGCAGACATGGGACCCCAACTTTGAGCCAGGTATGTGCTTCTCTACCACATACTCGTGCCTCTCTACCACATGTTCCTGCTTCTCGCCCACATACTCGTGCCTCTCTTCCACATGTTCCTGCTTCTCGCCCACATACTCGTGCCTCTCTACCACATGTTCCTGCTTCTCGCCCACATACTCGTGCCTCTCTTCCACATGTTCCTGCTTCTCGCCCACATACTCGTGCCTCTCTACCACATGTTACTGCTTCTCTACCACATGTTACTGCTTCTCTACCACATGCTCCTGCTTCTCTACCACATGTTCCTGCTTCTCTACCACATGCTCCTGCTTCTCTACCACATGTTCCTGCTTCTCTACCACATGTTACTGCTTCTCGCCCACATGTTCCTGCTTCTCTACCACATGTTCCTGCTTCTCTCCCACATGTTCCTGCTTCTCTCCCACATGCTCCTGCTTCTCTCCCACATGCTCCTGCTTCTCTACCACATGTTCCTGCTTCTCTCCCACATGCTCCTGCTTCTCTACCACATGTTCCTGCTTCTCTCCCACATGCTCCTGCTTCTCTACCACATGTTCCTGCTTCTCTACCACATGTTCCTGCTTCTCTCCCACATGCTCCTGCTTCTCTACCACATGTTCCTGCTTCTCTCCCACATGCTCCTGCTTCTCTACCACATGTTCCTGCTTCTCTACCACATGTTCCTGCTTCTCTCCCACATGTTCCTGCTTCTCTACCACATGTTCCTGCTTCTCTACCACATGTTCCTGCTTCTCTACCACATGTTCCTGCTTCTCTACCACATGTTCCTGCTTCTCTACCACATGTTCCTGCTTCTCTACCACATGCTCCTGCTTCTCTACCACATGTTCCTGCTTCTCTACCACATGTTCCTGCTTCTCTCCCACATGTTCCTGCTTCTCTACCACATGTTCCTGCTTCTCTACCACATGTTCCTGCTTCTCTACCACATGTTACCCTGCTTCTCTACCACATGTTCCTGCTTCTCTACCACATGTTCCTGCTTCTCTACCACATGTTCCTGCTTCTCTACCACATGCTCCTGCTTCTCTACCACATGTTCCTGCTTCTCTACCACATGTTCCTGCTTCTCTCCCACATGTTCCTGCTTCTCTACCACATGTTCCTGCTTCTCTACCACATGTTCCTGCTTCTCTACCACATGTTCCTGCTTCTCTACCACATGTTCCTGCTTCTCTACCACATGTTCCTGCTTCTCTACCACATGCTCCTGCTTCTCTACCACATGTTCCTGCTTCTCTACCACATGTTCCTGCTTCTCTCCCACATGTTCCTGCTTCTCTACCACATGTTCCTGCTTCTCTCCCACATGTTCCTGCTTCTCTCCCACATGCTCCTGCTTCTCTACCACATGTTCCTGCTTCTCTACCACATGTTCCTGCTTCTCTACCACATGTTCCTGCTTCTCTACCACATGTTCCTGCTTCTCTACCACATGTTCCTGCTTCTCGCCCACATGTTCCTGCTTCTCGCCCACATGTTCCTGCTTCTCGCCCACATGTTCCTGCTTCTCTCCCACATGTTCCTGCTTCTCTACCACGTGCTCCTGCTTCTCTACCACATGTTCCTGCTTCTCTACCACATGTTACTGCTTCTCTACCACATGTTCCTGCTTCTCTCCCACATGTTCCTGCTTCTCTCCCACATGCTCCTGCTTCTCTACCACATGTTCCTGCTTCTCTACCACATGTTCCTGCTTCTCTCCCACATGTTCCTGCTTCTCTACCACATGTTCCTGCTTCTCTCCCACATACTCGTGCCTCTCTACCACATGTTCCTGCTTCTCTACCACATGTTCCTGCTTCTCTACCACATGTTCCTGCTTCTCTACCACATGTTCCTGCTTCTCTACCACATGTTCCTGCTTCTCTACCACATGTTACTGCTTCTCTACCACATGTTCCTGCTTCTCTCCCACATGCTCCTGCTTCTCTCCCACATGCTCCTGCTTCTCTACCACATGTTCCTGCTTCTCTACCACATGTTCCTGCTTCTCGCCCACATGTTCCTGCTTCTCTACCACATGTTCCTGCTTCTCTCCCACATGCTCCTGCTTCTCTCCCACATGCTCCTGCTTCTCTACCACATGTTCCTGCTTCTCTACCACATGTTCCTGCTTCTCGCCCACATGTTCCTGCTTCTCTACCACATGTTCCTGCTTCTCTCCCACATGCTCCTGCTTCTCTACCACATGCTCCTGCTTCTCTACCACATGTTCCTGCTTCTCTACCACATGTTCCTGCTTCTCTACCACATGTTCCTGCTTCTCTCCCACATGCTCCTGCTTCTCTACCACATGTTCCTGCTTCTCTACCACATGTTCCTGCTTCTCTCCCACATGCTCCTGCTTCTCTCCCACATGTTCCTGCTTCTCTCCCACATGTTCCTGCTTCTCTCCCACATGTTCCTGCTTCTCTACCACATGTTCCTGCTTCTCTACCACATGTTCCTGCTTCTCTACCACATGTTCCTGCTTCTCTACCACATGTTCCTGCTTCTCTACCACATGTTCCTGCTTCTCTACCACATGCTCCTGCTTCTCTACCACATGCTCCTGCTTCTCTACCACATGCTCCTGCTTCTCTCCCACATGCTCCTGCTTCTCTCCCACATGTTCGCACACACAACTCCGCCTCACATTCTCCCTCCTCCACGTCCTACAATAATGATTATACTTGTAGCAATTATTTGTTCAGACGTACAAAAATGGGCTGTTGGAACCCCCAAAATTCATGTTTTGTTCTACTGGACTCGCCCAAATGGCGCGCACTATGGGGTGTTGCCACGTTGTGTGGTGTGGGAGACGTGCCCAGCGGGTACAGGCGCGGGTGTTGCCACGTTGTGTGGTGTGGGAGACGTGCCCAGCGGGTACAGGCGCGGGTGTTGCCACGTTGTGTGGTGTGGGAGACGTGCCCAGCGGGTACAGGCGCGGGTGTTGCCACGTTGTGTGGTGTGGGAGACGTGCCCAGCGGGTACAGGCGCGGGTGTTGCCACGTTGTGTGGTGTGGGAGACGTGCCCAGCGGGTACAGGCGCGGGTGTTGCCACGTTGTGTGGTGTGGGAGACGTGCCCCGCGGGTACAGGCGCGGGTGTTGCCACGTTGTGTGGTGTGGGAGACGTGCCCCGCGGGTACAGGCGCGGGTGTTGCCACGTTGTGTGGTGTGGGAGACGTGCCCAGCAGGTACAGGCGCGGGTGTTGCCACGTTGTGTGGTGTGGGAGACGTGCCCAGCGGGTACAGGCGCGGGTGTTGCCACGTTGTGTGGTGTGGGAGACGTGCCCAGCGGGTACAGGCACTTCTTTACACACTCATCAATCACCATGTCCGACCATTTCCTCTCGGTCTCCTCCTCCTGATCTTACCCTCGCACGCAGTCCAGGGTCACAGTGGCACCATACCAGAGCCGCATATAAAAACACCCAGTACCTACACTAATACCATAATATCATTCATATTTCCCAACATTCAGAATATCAAAACACGCAAAACAAAGTCGGCTTTATAACTGGTCTTCTGAACTCGACAAATGCAGTGTTGGCAGCCTTAACGCGCCCAAAGGACTACTGGGACATTGTAATATAAATGCCAGAATTCAATCTTTCCAAGTGACAAGAGACAGGCTACAGAGTGGGGTCAGTCTGTACAACAAATAAACACTTACCTGCACATAACAGCGAAACACCACAAATTATATGGCGGAGGTGCTGATAATCAAAACTGAAGTTATAAATGTAGATATTGTTCTTGTATATAAACCACCATATACAAATTCCCAGCAGATTAAAGACCAATAAATTAAAATAGAATATTGCTTATAAAATCTCACAAACCCAGTCTTAAACATCATCTTGCTTGGTGACCTCAATTTACGGTCCTACGGTGCCAAGGAGTAGTCTAAATGAGCAGTCACACACTCATGACCTCCTATGGATGTGTGACAGATTTGCCTTAACCCAGCAATATAGTGGAACCAGCTCGAACTGAAAACACTTTAGACTTTATTTTTACAAAAATGAAGTGGTTAGGAGCATACATATCATAAATACATGCTACTTGCATCACTGCCTAATCAATGCTCAATCGAGCATGGGCTGTGCTTTTTATCAATCATCATGACCCGCTTACTATTAACTAGCAAATTCAGTTTTGTTAATCAAATGATTAACTGGAAATTAATAAACTTAGACCTCAAGGAAATAAGCTGGTAAGAAAGGCTAGATAATGCAACGTAAATCAATACCCAGAAAAAAATAGGCAAACAAAAAAAAAGAGAACATTAAGGACATTTCAACGAGGACGGCGTTCTCTCTATGGGCCACAACGAGGACGGCGTTCTCTCTATGGGCCACAACGAGGACGGCGTTCTCTCTATGGGCCACAACGAGGACGGCGTTCTCTCTATGGGCCACAACGAGGACGGCGTTCTCTCTATGGGCCACAACGAGGACGGCTCTCTCTATGGGCCACAACGAGGACGGCGTGGGCCACAACGAGGACGGCGCTCTCTCTATGGGCCACAACGAGGACGGCGTTCTCTCTATGGGCCACAACGAGGACGGCGTTCTCTCTATGGGCCACAACGAGGACGGCGTTCTCTCTATGGGCCACAACGAGGACGGCGCTCTCTCTATGGGCCACAACGAGGACGGCGTTCTCTCTATGGGCCACAACGAGGACGGCGTTCTCTCTATGGGCCACAACGAGGACGGCGTTCTCTCTATGGGCCACAACGAGGACGGCGCTCTCTATGGGCCACAACGAGGACGGCGTTCTCTCTATCTCTCTATGGGCCACAACGAGGACGGCGTTCCCTCTATGGGCCACAACGAGGACGGCGTTCTCTCTATGGGCCACAACGAGGACGGCGTTCTCTCTATGGGCCACAACGAGGACGGCGTTCTCTCTATGGGCCACAACGAGGACGGCGCTCTCTCTATGGGCCACAACGAGGACGGCGTGGGCCACAACGAGGACGGCGCTCTCTCTATGGGCCACAACGAGGACGGCGCTCTCTCTATGGGCCACAACGAGGACGGCGCTCTCTCTATGGGCCACAACGAGGACGGCGCTCTCTCTATGGGCCACAACGAGGACGGCGCTCTCTCTATTCTCTCTATGGGCCACAACGAGGACGGCGCTCTCTCTATGGGCCACAACGAGGACGGCGCTCTCTCTATGGGCCACAACGAGGACGGCGCTCTCTCTATGGGCCACAACGAGGACGGCGTTCTCTCTATGGGCCACAACGAGGACGGCGTTCTCTCTATAACAATCAACGGCCTCTCTCTCTCTCTCTATGGGCCACAACGAGACGGCAAAGACGAGGAGCTCTCTCTATGGGCCAAACGAGGACGGCGTTCTCTCATATCTCTCTATCGAGGACGGCGTTCTCTCTATGGGTGAGCTAAATAGAGTTTAGAGGAACCCAAAATTCTTCTTTTATTATGCAAAATCTATTATGCAAGCATTTTCCCCCTGCGCATGGCAGATGGAACTTTCATGGATGACAGTAAAGAAATGAGTGAAATACTGAGGATACAGTTCGATTGTTTTTCAGTGATAACGCCGCAGATAGCGCCACTCCGCAAAGGAAACAGTGAAACACACACACACACACACACACACACACACACACACACACACACGCACACACACACACACACACACACACACACGCACACGCACACGCACACGCACAGAACTCGGAACCAAGTCCGTACAAGACATGATGGACTATGTCACCCAAAAATGTCAGGAGGCTGTAAGCAGGTTTGTCCCAGCCCAACAGGAAAAAACAGAGAAGCAAAGGAAGAATCCGTGGTTTAATAGGGAATGTATGAAAGCAAAGGAGCTGAACAAAAGGGCATGGAGGAACTTCCGTAATAACAGAACATCAGAAAGTAGAGAGAGATACCAGAGAACCAGGAAAAGGTATGAAAATGATATAGCTAATAAAGCCAAGACCGAACCAAAGCTACTACACAGTCACATCACGAGGAAGACAACAGTGAAGGAACAGGTGATGAAACTTAGGGTGGGCGAGGACAGGTACTCAGAGAATGACAAAGAGGTGTGTGAAGAACTCAACAAAAGGTTCCAGGAGGTCTTTACAATAGAACAGGGAGAAGTCACGGCGCTAGGAGAGGTGGCAGCAAACCAGGTGACCTTGGAAAGGTTCGACATTACAAGAGATGAGGTCAAGAAGCACCTATTGGAGCTGGATGTGAGAAAAGCTGTTGGGCCGGATGGAATCTCACCATGGGTATTGAAAGAGTGTGCAGGAGCACTTTGCTTGCCACTCTCCATAGTGTATAGTAGGTCACTGGAAACGGGAGACCTACCAGAAATATGGAAGACTGCTAATGTAGTACCAATATACAAAAAGGGTGACAGACAAGAGGCACTGAACTACAGGCCAGTGTCCTTAACTTGTATACCATGCAAGGTGATGGAGAAGATTGTGAGAAAAAACCTAGTAACACATCTGGAGAGAAGAGACTTCGTGACAACCCATCAACATGGGTTCAGGGAGGGTAAATCTTGCCTTACAGGCTTAATAGAATTCTACGATCAGGTGACAAAGATTAAGCAAGAAAGAGAAGGATGGGCGGACTGCATTTTTTTGGACTGTCGGAAAGCCTTTGACACAGTACCCCATAAAAGGTTGATGCATAAGCTGGAGAAACAGGCAGGAGTAACTGGTAGGGCGCTCCAGTGGATAAGGGAGTACCTAAGCAATAGGAAGCAGAGAGTTACAGTGAGGGGTGAGACCTCAGAATGGCGTGAAGTCACCAGTGGAGTCCCACAGGGCTCTGTACTTGGACCTATCCTGTTTCTGATATATGTAAATGATCTCCCAGAGGGTATAGACTCATTCCTCTCAATGTTTGCTGACGACGCCAAAATTATGAGAAGGATTAAGACAGAGGAGGACAGCTTGAGGCTTCAAGAAGACCTGGACAAGCTGCAGGAATGGTCGAACAAATGGTTGTTAGAGTTTAACCCAAGCAAATGTAATGTAATGAAGATAGGGGTAGGAAGCAGGAGACCAGATACAAGGTATCATTTGGGAGATGAAATACTTCAAGAGTCAGAGAGAGAGAGAAAGACCTGGGGGTTGATATCACGCCAGACCTGTCCCCTGAAGCTCATATCAAGAGGATAACATCAGCAGCATATGCCAGGTTGGCTAACATAAGAACGGCCTTTAGAAACTTGTGTAAGGAATCTTTCAGAACATTATATACCACATATGTCAGACCAATCCTGGAGTATGCAGCTCCAGCATGGAGTCCATATCTAGTCAAGCATAAGACTAAACTGGAAAAGGTTCAAAGGTTTGCCACCAGACTAGTACCCGAGCTGAGAGGTATGAGCTACGAGGAGAGACTACGGGAATTAAACCTCACTTCATTGGAAGACAGAAGAGTTAGGGGGGACATGATCACCACATTCAAGATTCTCAAGGGAATCGACAGGGTTGATAAAGACAGGCTATTTAACACAAGGGGCACACGCACTAGGGGACACAGGTGGAAACTGAGTGCCCAAATGAGCCACAGAGATATTAGAAAGAACTTTTTTAGTGTCAGAGTGGTTGACAAATGGAATGCAT